GACTGTACCGGTTCCCGAGTCGAACTGGGCTTCGGTTCGACTCGCCGATTTTTAAAACACTGGTTTCAAGGAATTGAGTAATGGTAGATATGACACCCCTAGTTATATTAAGTTGAAAACCAAATTGCTTGTACAAGTGCGAGCTTCACTCGAGAAGTCCCTACAACCCATTCCAGATCCATGGGAAATAAACGGAGTATCTATCTTATCAAATGGATGCCCAGATCCTAAAAAAGGTCCTGAATAAATTTCATTGCCTTATCAGACAGGGTTGATATTTATAAGAGTCGTAGATGCCTCTATGATATACACAGACACTTAAGGTATGACTCCGTTTGTTTTTGAAAGAACAACTCGTTTATTTAGTCGGAGTATATAATATTTTTTTTTTTCTTTTTCATTAGTTTTCTTTTCTTCACGGTCTAGATCACTTACACGTAGTCCTTTTATAATTTAATAATTTTAGATTGTTTGAAGACATTTTTCAGTGCCTTGGATCCCCGATACAGAATAAAGTGGAAGTCAGTTAATAAAGCCCCTATTTACAATGGAATTCTCGACATTCTCATAATTGCTCTTGAATAGGCGGAAATGTTTCTAAGGACTTCAAAAAGCCACCTGCCAAGTTTCGTCGCAATCTGATATGTTTAAGGTAGTGAACACAAATAAACAATTTCGGAAAAAATCAGCCTCTCATACCTTGAAACATACCCCATAACAAGAACTCTATTTTCGATACGCTAAACAGCTGTGGGACCACCGCCATTGGATCCGGCACTGTCGAAAACCATTGAAGGTCAAGTTTTGGCTAAAGCAGGCATTCTAGTGCAAAGTTATAGGTGAAGCATTAAAAAACGATAGGCCGCACGCTATTCCCATGTAGCCTCCTTACATCAAATCACATTAATGGTGACTGTTTTTGCAGTTTCAGGAAGTGACTTCGGAGACCTATATATCCCTCGTCCAGAGTCAGATTACGCTCAAATTTTGTGAGCATGTTTGTCTCGTTAAGACGAGTGTTTTGATATATGACACGCCCCGTGACGACACCCGTGCAGGGAGAAAAGCTAGAGAGAAGTTACCTATTCGTAATGAAAGTTGTAGGAAAATCAACAGCGACACATCTCGCTCGCGTAGCCAAATCACGGCACTCGCACATCGGATCGATGCAAAACCAGTTCCATCGCGTGTGTAAGGTATGAGGCTACATCTGGGCTGAACCCCGCACGAGATGAACATTCGGATTTCACGCACGAAGTTGATAAAATTGCTGTAAATTCCGGCTGCTAGATTCTAGATTCGGGCCAAAAACCTTAAAGTGTCAAATCTTCATTTGGGCATGAAATCGAGCTGTGCTTATTGCAATGCAATCGTGACGACATACTTAATGTGATCCACTGAAAAAATCAAAGAAATACATAAAAAATCGAGCGTACTATTGATCCAAAGTTTTAATATTCGTGCAATTTTCGAGTCGTATGATCGAGGATTAAAAACGTGATATGTGATTCGAAGTTGGCACCAAATCGATCGTCATGCCAAGCTCAATAAGAAAGTAATCATCTTTTTGCTAAACAAGTGCCGAAGCAACCCCAAATTGGCTATGGAAGATCATGTACATGCTAAGGCTGCGGCAGAGACCAAAGTAAACTTTCATGAATTGTTGGGCAGGGGCA